GAGGGGATATTGTGCAGAAGTCCAAAGGCTGACTAGGCTGTTTGACACTTTTATGGTTGCAGTATTGAACAGAGGGCAAACTCAAGGCTTGATGTAAGGATTGTTGACTTATTAACAGGGACTCAAAAGTCTAAAGTGAGTGAAACTAGGAGCCACTTTAACTTACTGATAGTTCTGTTCCATCTGCAAGGGCGTACTCAAAGGTGACTCCAAGGGTAAATTCAATTTCGATGTTGCGGAAATTGCTGCTCTCCTTGACGTTAAACTTGTCTCCCTCCTGCGCGATGATAATCTTGAGGTTGTCGTGAGCAGCCAGCTTCCTCTTCACCATGTTAACTCCTATGGATAGACACAATAAGGTCACAATAGATTGAGCAATGTCAGGAAGTTTTACCTGTCTAAAGGCTAATCACTTATAATGCAGTCACAAAAAAATGTGCATGACTATCAGTTTGGTGCAAAGATTATATTTAGACATTAATACATCAGTATTCTTTATTTAAGAAAAAATGAAGATTCAGAAGCAGCTTATCAAGGCAACTCTAGCACTCACCCAATTTTTCCATGAATTTGTCATAGTTCTCACTTTGAGTAACCTTCCAGGTGCCGTTGAAAGTCATGGTGGCGGTGAGGGTGAGCTGGAGGACTCTGCAACAAGGAGTGCCCTTTTCAAACTCTGCCGCTCCTTTTAAACCACACACCCTCTTATCTCGTCATCTATCTGATTGCTGATGTGGCCGTTTAAAGCTCATGTTTTTTTTTCCAAGGTAATATCCTAACTGTGTGACAATGAATAGTTAAATGGTAAATGGACTCAAGTTTATAGAGTGCTTCTCTACTCTACTAGAGCACTCAAAGTGCTCTATTGAATGCTTAATAGCCACTTATCCTGAATCTGTTTGCCAAAAGTGTTGGTCACAGCTTAACCACTAACCATATTCAGTGCAGAACTGCAGCATTTAAGTCTGCACTATTTGATACAAGAGGAATATATTAGAATTTTTTTACGTTAAAACTGTAAATCTGTTTTTTTGTTCCTGCCATTTACTATTATTACAGATCCATTGCACATATGCACTCCTCCAAATCTGCATGTAGCTAATGTAGGTTTAATCTTATCATTCATCCAAGATACTGCATCAGTGTACTAGTTGTAATTTCTTTCTTCCACTATACTTGATTATATGTGATACCTTTGTCCTTAATTGCCCATTGCTAATAAACAAGACCTTTGACATCTAAAGTTAATGCTATAAGAAACAGTGCTTGTCTACCACTACTATGTCTACCACCATCTAGTAATTTTATGTAATTAAATTACCACCGGAATTTAATTTAATTTAATTTAATTTAAGGGCATCAAAAATATTGTGAAACTATTAACTAACCCACAACTAACTGCACTATTAAAATTGAAATATTTAAGTTTAACAGAAAGAAAAAAAATGCTTAAATATGCATTAAAATTATTTTAACCTATACCTAACCAAGTGGATGAATGGGATGAATAAAACATGTAGAGCATGTCTTCTCTTTTTTAATCACAGTTTCTTGTCATTCTATGTGTCAAAGAGACCTTTGCCTGACCTTCAATTCCACCTCAGTAATACTGCATCTTATCAGACAAAAGACCTTTCTATCAAGACTGCAGTGATGAAATTCACAGGTGAGCTGGAGCCATAGTTGATCAAGTCTGGTGGAAACTCTTTATAACATAATTATATCCTTTAAGGTTTGTCCAGTTTGTAGTATAAGTCATAAAAGCATGTGACAAATGTGCTGAAATAGACTAGACTGAAAGGGTTGAATCAGTGATTCAGTGAACTCCATTTTAGTAAATACTAAACAAATGCTGATAACAAATTTCCGTCTTTTTCAAATCCATTCAAGTACAGTCTGGTGCGTAGGTTTTTGGACAGTGACACATTTTTTGTAATTTTGTCTGCGTACTTTACCACAGTGACTTTTAAATCAGGCAATTATATGTAATATAATTGGATAATTGATTGCCAAGAAGTTTTTATGGTCAGACATGGGCTGTTTACTCATTATCCCATGACAAACTAAGCAGCAAAATCTGGAGTTGATTCCAAGTGTTGAGCTTATTTTAGTTATTGTTGCACTGGCAGAATTGATATGAGGTTCAAAGAAATGTAGGTGAAGTAGGCCATCACTAGGCTTAAAACCTAAATAAATATATCAGAAATATATATTAAAAAAAATAAAAAATAGGAGAAATGCACTTGCAACAAGCTCCTATGGCCTGGAAGACCATGGAGGAGGACTAAAGTGAATTTTACAATATCTAACCCAGAAAAACCTCTAGGAAATTCGCATGCATTTGTCAAAGTCAACAATCATAAGACAGTTTCATTAATGTAAGTACCGAGGATTTACAATAGGGTGTAACTGAATGGGGCTGCAGTAAATGCATGGCAGAGCATCTCAAGACGGTAAACATAGCATTTGGTGATGTCCATATGGTCCGGACTTCAGGCAGTCATTGAGTGTAAAGGATTTTCATCCAAATATGAAAAACAATCTTGAACTTTAAATCTTGATATTTGTTAGTTCAATTAATTTTGAGCTTTTAAAAATTAGTTATGTGTTCCTAAACAATTCATGCTGAACCCTTGGAATTAAAGCTGATGGTCTTGTTTGATTTAAAATCCACTGTTTTGGTGTACGAAGGCAAAATTCTCAGCATTGGGTCATTACTCAAAAACTTTATGAACCTAACAGCTTAACATTTGTTGTGCTACCAGAAGTTTACAAGTGAGCTCGTGATAATTCCATGCTGGACCTTGACCTAGCAAGATAAATTTGGGTACGGAAGATAAGAGCACTTGTCCCTCACTCTTTAATAACAGTGAAAGAGACTTGAGCAAGACTCTTAACAGCTTATTAATTCTCCAGAGTGGCTCACTGACCAGACTGTTGTCATGGCCAGAGCCCTTAACGCTGATCACAATCTATAGTAGAACTGATACGGATGATGCCTCTGTTTAAGTTCCTTAGTGCTCCATTTGATGAAGGAGTCACTATAACTATTTACTACATCTGTGGTCACTGGGTGAAACATTTAAATGCTATATTACCTCAGGAAAGTGAAATGAAAATCCAGTTTACCTTTTTCCAATATCTGGTATCTAATTAAACACAACTGGCTCTTTAGCTACAGAGCTGAAGAAGAGTTACTAAAGAAACCTGGATGAGAGGTAAAACATCTTGAAAATAAAAATTAAACAAGTTCAGCTGCCACATTTTCAGTCTCCTTAGACTGGAATGGCCTGGATGACTGAGAACCTACACAGACTTTTTAGCTACAGGTTTACTCCCTAATCTTCCTGACTTTACCATCAGCTGCTAGTATTAGCTTCTGTTGCATTGCTTGAAAACAACCATAGAAGCAACATGGTAAATGTGTCTTTGAGTAGTTATTTTGTTTTTCACGTTCTCTAAAATTTTCTAGGAGAACAAGGTGCCACATTCTAAATTAGATTTAAGGACAATACCTGTAATTTGAAAAATACTTGCCTTGGCCAGTGGTACAGCTCATCCATTCATCCATCCATTCTCTTCCACTTATCCTTATCAGGGTTGCTGGGGGAGGGATGGAGTCTATCCCAGCTACCTTAGGATGAGAGGTTGGGTGCACCATAGACAGGATGTCCATTGATACCTATGGTATCAATTTCAAAATCCTACATCATGTTATTGCATTTACAAGATTTCCAGAAAACGTAACCTCCGACTTTGAAGTTGAAGTCACCGAGATTTGAATTCATCTGAGATTTTTAGAAAATACATGTGGTATCAATTTGAAACACCTACATTGCTTCATTTTTGAGTTATCACATTCACAAACTTGGGTGTCCATGTTCTCTGCTTGCCTGTCCAAGACCCCACCAGCCTCTTACATATGAAGGTAAGAATCTAATTTTAAGCAAAATTCACATTTGGTTATTTAAAGAAAATTGGCTTGACCAATTTTTTTTTATTATTGTACTGCAATAGAAAGTTTATTCTGAATGGATAAGCAGGACAAGAGACACATAAAACAATTTACCTGATTTTGAAGGTAGAGTAATGTGTAAATGTATTGAGCCATTCCTTTATAGTTTTTGTAGGAAAATGGGAAACAGTGATTGCAGTGATTTATTGAAACATGAAAACATACATGGAAATGCAGTATATAAGGCAAAAACTGCGTTTGTACACTTCTAATGTGAATGAAAGTCAACTTTATTTTGTTCTTTGTCGAGATGATCCCACACTGCTTCAGTAATGTTGAGATCCAGACTATGGAGAGGCTAATCCGTGACTAATAATGTTCTATTGTGTGTTTTTCTATCCAGTTATGCTTTTACTACAATGGCAGTGTGTTACCACACTGGCTGCAAAAGGCTGCTTGTAATAAAATCCCTAAAGTTGCAATTTAAAATGAATTCTTTGCTAAGATGTCTGTTATGAGTAAACATTACAGTGGTTCGTCGCTTGAGTTAGGTGCCTTTTTTATGCTTGAATGATTCATAGCTTAGCGTTGACAAATCCAAAAAAAAGTATTCCTCTGAAAATGTTCAGGTACAAGGACTGGACTGAAAATGAGTGAAAAGCAGCCATCTAAAAAGTTGAAAGACCTACAAAAAGCAAAATATTTTAAAGAAAAGGGGTGGCTCAAGACTTTTGCACAGTACTGTATGTGGCCATTACCACAGAAAAGGGCTGCAATTTTCTGACACACCACTAGAGGGAGTGCATCTCAAAAAAACACATTCTTGTGTGTGTGCTATACTTCAGCCTTTGGTCAAAAATAAAGACCATAAAATACTTAAACAGCTACATGATTCAGTCTGAATTTCCTGACGGATTATAAAAAAAATAAATATATGTAGTACAAAATAAAATATCTATATCAAGTAATCCACACTTGTCCGCATTATTTATTAGTTACCTCCAAAATAAACACCAGATAAAACAAGATGTCCCACAAGCACAGAAATGAGGACACTGTGTTTAGTTTATTAATAGTGAATTTGGAAAATATGTTGAAAAATCATACAGTACATAAACTCAAGTGAGATCAATCCAACATGTGATGGAGGCACAAAGTAGTGTCATACATAGCAAAATTTACCATACGTTTTCTTTTTTCATTTCTAAAAGTAATAACGGTTCTTTTCTCAAAAAAGGAATAAATACAAAATAACATGACACAATAAATATGTAGCTTTATCTCAGTAACATACAGTAGAACTGAAAATAGCATTCAATATCATTTAAGCAGACATGAGGTGATTGTGCAATGTGTACAGAGGTAACATAAATATATAAAATAGTGTTAAGTGCTTTTAATACTAAGGGTATTTTAATAATTAAGTAATGGGTACATGTAAAGAACTAATGGCTCAAATGCTTTATGATTTGTGGCTTTTAAAAATACAAGTAAGTCTGTGTAATGTAAAACTGTATATGAATGTAGTTGGCACAGTAGTTTTTATGACAAAGATTTGACATCAGTATTATATATATAATAATATCTAGTCTAAATCTAAATTCTCATTTGTTATAATAATCTTGAAGCCAGTGTAATATATTCAGTGTAAAACTATAAATTCTCACATTTGGTGAACAAGGACAATAATGTAAGCTCTACAGTCATTTTCATTAAACTAATTAGTCAAATTTTTACCTACATTTAATATATTCTGTACCTGTAAAATTTAATATGATGATGATAAAATAAAGTATATTCTGAAATTACTTAATTTGGCTATAAATTGTCTTTTTTTGGCACGCTTCACACTACACAAATACGGCAGACAAAAATGGAAACTAAAATAAAAATAATCAATAAATGTAAATTGTTTTGTTTATTAAAACCTTTAGTGTGTAGTCTAATACACCACTTTGTATGTATCAAACGTATCAAACTTGACTGCACCAAATACTGTATCACGGACCTCTCGATGAAACGCTACACAGCTATAAAATGTAGTGAGGTAATGGCAGACCATGGGTACGTAGAGAGAGGCGGGTGTTCGGATAGACAAATGTGTTTCATCATAATAAAAATATCTGCATATGTGTCACCTGATCCAACCCATCCCTGTGTCAAAATGTGACAGGACATGACCGCATTAATGTAATCCTTCGATGATCCTTAAGCGTCTGTGGGCTTCCTGGAAAGAAACCACACCTTCATTGGCTCCTTCTTTCCTTTCATGGTGACCGGGCCCCGATACTCCAGATGAAACTGAGGGTCGGCATTCTCGGCAGACTGCAAACACCTGCAATACAACGCTACATATCACACAAGCTGCACACTTGCCGTGCTCACGTTCACAGTAACTAGGTTTGTTTTTCCTTGTATATGCTTCATGTTTTATGTCTATTAATGGATATTTTCTTAAAAGTTAAAAGAATAAAAAAATTCTAGCAGTACAACTGATCCTGAAAAATAAGGAGACGCTGCTGCTCACCGGTACGTATATTCAGACACGTTTATTTTTCCTTTTTCACCCGTCGTCTCTGTACGGCTTGTGAGGTTGACCGTATTTCCAAAAAGGCAATATCTGGGCATCCTCTGCCCAATGACTCCGGTCACCACCTCTCCTGTGTGGATCCCAATAGTAATCTGAAAAGAAAAGAGAAGAAAACATGTGATTGAAGCGCATGTTTACACTTTAACCAAAGCAAAATAAATGCTGCAGTTACCTAAAGACATCCCTGTTTCTTTTTAAATTTGCAAACGTAACTTTAAATACATCTCTGCAGCACAGATCATTAGTTATCTGCTGTACATTTATTTGTAAAACAGCACACAACAAACCTTATTTCCTACAAAATGTCCTACTTTAAATCCCGTGTACATTCTAACTCAAGGACTTGAATGAATAATTTATGCTTTATAGAAATAAATTGCAAGTTTTGTGTTGGCACAAATTCTTAAAGCCATCGACTGACATGTGGTTGGTAAATATAAGGTTGACTTTGCCTGGGGTGTCTCCATGCACAAAATTAAAATTTCCTTGTAGTTTCAAATTTGCAGTAAACAGTTCCAAAAGAAATCCTCGACAATCAAGAGACTAATATTTACACTTAATCTTATAGGCACTTCAGCGCTTGCTGCCATCAGAGCATGAACATGCCAGGAGTGTTTGGGACAAATGAGAATCTATTTTAAGCCACAGGATCGTGAAATGATTTGAGTCTGTTTCTGCTACTAAGCTGGGCCCCTCTTTAGCCAGTGCCATGTCTGAAAATAAACAGTCTTTTGTTAACCAGACACGATTTTCCAAAGTTAAGTCTCAACAGTCATTGATATAATAACAATCTCCAGCACTCACTTAAACAACTTCTCATTGCTCATTACTTCAGCACGAAAATACATTCCCAGATGCGCAGGTATAATTATTCTAAAATAAAAATGTGTATATATTATGTGTAATAGAGTAAATGCCTGACACATTAATATGGTGCACTAATATGAGAATTTTCAAACTAATATTAGAAAGCCGACACCGCTCCAAAAAAAATCATCTGTGCCAAAATAACAGATGGAGTGCTTAGAAGCTGAAAAATAATTAAATGTGAAGGAGAACAGTTAGACAGTCAGCGCGCATCACCACACAGAGATAATCCAACAGCTATATAACAGACATGTTAGAGAGACAAGATGAAATACATGCAATGCCATTATTTTCCAGTTAGTCCTTTTTTTGGTCTATTTAATTTGTTTTAAAAAATCCTCTGTGCACTAAAGTCTACACTGTTACGTTCTTAACTGTTACAGCCTGTATGTAAAAATGGAATTATAGTTTTGCATTTTCTAATTAATTTCTCTGTTTCATTTCATTTCTACCTTTTTTTTTAAAATTAAGTTTAGTTTTAGTTAGTTTCCAGAGTGTTTTTTTTTTCCAGTTTCAGGGTTTTTTTTTTCAGTTTATAATAATATATTTTAGTCTTTTTACTAAATTAATTCATGTATGGAAGACATGTGTCGGAGGCAAGATCTAAGAAAATCAGTACAGGTGTTACAATAAAAACACATAATTTTTTAAAAGGACTTGACTTACAGTCTCATAGTCATCCAAAGTCTCAATAAACACATCCATCAAAGATATAATAAGATTTTTTCCAAACTATCAAACTCTCAAACTAAGCATGTTTCCTCTATATTCTCTTTTTAGTTTAGTTTTCAAAGTTCATTTCAGTTAGCTTTTTTTTTTTTCAAAAGTCTATTTTTAATTTGAATTTTTTTCCACATCTAGTGTTAGTTTTTAATTTAGCTTTTGTTTACTATAAAAGTCTTGGAGCTGACAGGTCCACAGTAAACTGTCCACAGTGAGTGACTGAGTGTGTTGATTCTCTGCCACCACAATTAAATTTGAACAACATCTGAACTGGCTTTAGACTAGACAGACATATACTACTGCCACACTGAGCTTCAGCAGGTGGAGGTAATGTTTCCTACACCTTCACATTTTCCTTTGCTACCCAATCAAACCAGGACTAATACAGGAAATCTTTCCTCTCACATGCATTAACTTCCCAATTTGGGAGAAATTATTCTGATTAAAACCAATTGTTTTAAAATCAAATCATAAACACACTTTGATTCACTTGTGATGATTCGTCGTTGATAATCGCGATCAGCGAGCGAAAGATTACACTCGCCACTACTGCCTTAAGGCACAACAAAAGTGACGGCTTTGCTGCGCTCTGGTGTGGTTTAGGCCAGTTACACACCTCACAATTTTTGTAACATGGTGGGCAAGAGTGTTCGAGGAGGTCTCTATAGGCACGCCTATAATCTATCAGTGTTGGAAGCAGCTAAAACTATAGAAAAATAAATATATTCTGCTAATTTTCTCAGCAGCAACAGGTATTATTTAAGGTCAAGCAAAAGTACTGTATAAAAAGTTGCTCAGCTCACATTTAGTGGCAATACAATTCCACACAGATAATGAAGTATAATATGCAGGTTTTATTCTGAAACCTGAGATTCATATCACACCTGCACTGGTTCATCATCCACTTTCACTTGTCCAGCAATCTCCATCATGTCGAGAGCAAGGTGGCAGATCGACTTTGCGTGGTGTGTGCACGGCTCGGGCAGGCCACTAACCGTCATGTACTTATCACCGACTGTTTCCACCTGTATAAAGAAAATAAACCAAAACATTTTCTTATTCGCCACATGAGTGATGTCATGACTTCTTTTTTCTTTTCTGCTTCTATTTACTTTTGCTTCATGTAGAATGATTTGTTCCCACTGTGCAACGGGGGTGTGTGTGTGTGTGTGGGGGGGGGGGGTTCCAATGTGCTGTGCAGCCAGAAATAAACTGAAACACCCTGAGATAAACACTTAAACACTTACATCAGCTTTAAGACATTCAGGGACTCTTTAAGCCCTGTTAAAACCCCTGGACCACCTAGCCATTCAGCTTGTAGAGTAAATATTACTTTTTTTGGTGACCCAGTGCCTGAAGCCAATCTCATGGAAGAGGTCTGTTTGACTTCTTAAAGTGCATTCTTGTCTGAAAGCCTGGAGAGTAAATCTGTTGCACGAGGCCTATAAAATGGTGCAGTGCCATTGTAAAACTACACCCTGTTTAGATGTTGGTACTACCCTAAGTTAACTGATATAAATACTCTGTAACTGAGTTGCATGTGCATAATTGCATAATATTATTCAGCAGCTTAGTGCATTACAGCTGCAGAACCAGACCTCCAGAGTAGAAGCAAAACTTCCTCCTTTCTGGCCTTTTTATTGACCACAAATTTACACCAGTATTCAATATTACGTGATGGTAAAGTTCTTGCTTCTGACCTTGTATACATAAGGGTTCTTCCGAGAGTCTGTCAAAATGTCAAAGCGTGTGTAAACATCATTGAGCAGGTTGACGATCTTGATGGCTCCTTCAGCTGAGGCGTGCTTGCTGCAGAAAGCATTGAACCCGACAATGCCACTAAAGAGGATGGTCACGTTGTCATAGCGCTTTGCCGGCACCGGGCGTTTGTGTCGCAGCTCATTGGCAACAGATGGTGGCAGGACAGAATAGAGCAATCTGAGAAGGAGAAGAGAAATGAACATTCTGGGCGAGAGCACGGTGGTGCTGGGGACGCCTGGATGAAGTCCGTCCTTTGGATCAGCATTTTGTTTGCACAGACACCACCTTTTGGTCATTTTGCTGTGGAAGCTGCTTTCAGAAAGGAGAGTGGTGTTTCTATGGTAACTGGTTAGATTATGGCTGCCTCTTAAAAGCAAAATACCTTCCTTGATGCATCATAATCTTAGGATGAATGATGCATACAGATGGCAAACTCTAAAATGTATTCAGAAAAAAATAGTATATATATACAGCGCTTAAATACATATATTTAAATCTAAAATAGTTAATATTTTATGCACAGCCTTGTACCTCTAAGTTAAAAAGAAGTAAAAACAAAGAGTGATGTAGCATCTAAAAAGGCAACAACAGTGCAGCAGCAGTTCTCTTAAAATTTAGAGAAGCCATGAATTCAAATCAATGTCTGGAGCCCGAGGCAATCTGAGTCCAGAGAATGGTCAGAATAATAACGTGGGAATCCAGTGGGAGAGTGAAAGTCTTTTCCTAATAGAAGATAAACTGCTACAGCGCTCTTAATAAAGATCACACTCCACCCTTCTCCGTCTCCAGCTGTCACCCACTGCTGTGACAAAATACAATGGCAGGCCTTTTTCTGACAGGGACTGAAGAGAAGCTGAAATATCAGCCCCTGCTTGCCCTGCTGTCATACATCCTTAATGCAACTTTATTGTACTGAGACCTGTGTCTTTCTGTATTGTCGGTGATTTGCCCTTAAAAGGGAAAACTGGTTAAGGCTTCTCTTTATCTCCCTACTCAAGACTTATAATAAACAATCTTTTTTTTTTATCATTTTTTTCCTAGCAAATGAATCATGACAGTGCTATTGGAGATTTATAGTAGTGAATTTGGATACTACACACAACCTACAGATAATGACATAACTAGAAAATGTAAATGACGTCATTTAATACTTTCTTTTGTTTAAATAAAGTGAAAAAATGAAGGGAGACAGGCAAAATGGGTTAAAGCTGCATATACTAGCTACATTATGTCAAAAAACTGATTGAGAATTGGTGGGTATAATACCTGTAATTAATGAATATCTGACCCCACACTGTACTTAAAGACTACTTTAATGAAAATATAAAAACAGTCAAACCTATCTGTCTTTTTCTTTTCGTCCTCCAGGGCTCGGAGTGTGTGCTGGAGGCGATCCGTCAAGATTTCCAGCTCTTGGGTCAGTTTGTACTCCTCACGAAACTGCTCGCCCAGCAGCACCAGGTCGCGCGTGGCATCATGCAGCGGGATGTCACTTAGGTAGAGTCCCCGCCGTGTAAGATCGTCCAAGTTCATAACACTAACCAGAAAAGTAGGAACAGGTCAACAAAGCGAGGGCAAAAAAAAGTGAGAGTCATAAATTATAAGAGATTTTTGCAGAGTGAAGCTGCTGGAAACATTTGATTTGTGTCTTGCTGTTCTTGTTCATATCAAGAGGTGTTATAAATTATACAGGGCATAAAAAATGAGGCATGAGCAGTGAAATCATCATCCTCTTGTGAGGGCTGAGAGCACTGTAATGTTTCCAGATAAATGCTGCTTTTTGTGTGGTGAGGTCAGACGCTGTGCTGTTCGGATCTTTTCTGGTCAGGTTGCATCTCGTTTTCATTCATTAGCAGTTAAAGTCCTCCAAGGCAGCAACCTTTAGTGAAAACACTCATCCTACAATCTGCAAACTGCCTTCAATGTAAGGGGACAAGACCTTTTTAACCCTGCCATCTCCTGGATCGAATAGTTTACTAAAAAATTCTGAATGATTACGTAAGAGCTACAGAGGATAACGGAGGTCACACTCTGGCGATCTACCTGCCCATTGTCATTTCCAAAAGGCCAAGAGGAAAACACTTCTGAGTATTCTGTGTAATTGCTTGATTAACAGAGTGTGTAACTACATGGAAAAAAATAACCTAATTTTCATTAGTGAGATTATAACAGATCAAAATTACAAGTAAATCAAAAACAGATCTTCTGTTGATGTCTCTTCTACTTTTCATCAATCATTTTCTTGCTCTAATTAACTACACTTAGACGTTTTACACAGAATACTGTCTTTGCTACACTATACACTGTTAAAGGATAAGCCTTGTAGTCATCTAGACCAGGGGTGTCAAACCACCATATATAGCAATGCTAACCTTCATGAGACCATACAGCACAGTGAAAACACATAATTGTCTCCTTGGTTTTTGCTAACTGATGTTTTTGATGACTCTGGTGAGCTTCCTTTTTCCCCTGAAGTTAGATCTATTTTTATTGTCGACACTTTGAGTGTGATTTTTTGAAATCTTTAATGTTTGCATATGACCAGTATGTCCATTATTCTCAGATTCTCCAGTTAACTTTGTCGTTTAAACACTCTGGCTGTTTGAAGGGACCTAATTAGTCTCCGTGCATCTAGCATCAGCATAAGCATCACCAGCTGGACATAAGAAATGCTAAATGCACAACGAAAAACATTATTACAGATGTCCAACAGTATATCATCAGTGAATATCTGGAGGAGGACTTAGACAGAGTACCACCAACTCTGTAATAGACTCCTTCTGACAGCAGCTCTGATTCAAAGTAGCATTCACCTCACCTGTGTTACGTTAGCTGTCTTAGATTATGGTTAGACTATATATCCTGAATGTTAAGGTTTCTCTCAGCTCGCTGTAATTTGCAGAAATTTTTAGTTTTTTCCAACACTATCATGTAGCATTACAGCTCTAAAAGTGGAAATTCGTTTCTTATATTTTGGTTGGAAACAAAAATCACAGAAAGAAAAGCACATTGTAAGTAACCTTCATGCATACGAGCAATTAATAGTGAACAAAACTCTTCCTTTAAAAAAAATCAGCTTTATTTCAAATATTGGTTTACAGAGATAGATTATACTCTGCTGTAAGTCAAAACCTTGAACCTTTAGATTTCAAGATGTCTTCACCTGAAATCTGAGCATTCTCATTCTGTGGGTAAAAGTAACATTTTTCTGGTGTGCATTTTCAGTCAAGGCTTCTGCAACTGATGGCTTACCTGGGTGAGCAAAGAAAAAGGATGTTCTCAGCCTCTGGCAAATAAATCATCTGTCCTTTCAGTCTCAGACAGCTGATCTCCACCCCCGTCAGCTCGTCCTCATTCTCTACAGTCTCCACATTCAGCAGGCCCTCCTGTCAGGATTACATCCCTCTTATGAATATTTCATGATGCAGTGCGTTCATTTCTAAATGTGCTTCCAAACTGGGCGCCAGTTTAGCTCACACTTTATTTTTAAATCTGGCTTTTCATTTTAAATGTTAAATTTTTCAGCGCTCATTACATTAAATTAATTTTGATTTTATTGTGTAAAGAAAAAAAAATGTAAACTCTTCTTTTTTTGTCAGGGCTTACGTAGCCATGTAGCTTATGCCCCAAGAATGGCAGTGCTTCAAGGATCAGTCTTGTCACAATTAATCTGAGTATAGCGGTCGGGCCCTGCAGCTATTATTTTGTCACTTAAGAATTAACCATCCCATGAGAAACCAGACCACACAAATTTTAAATTTGAAACTATTTTCTATTCTTGCTCTATTTTTACCTTGTGACTTTTCATTTGACTTCACACTGACCAACAAAGGTATATTCTAACTGTGCTGCATGACCCTCTTTGCTCTATGCATAAACATAAGCATTGTAAAACTGTATAGTAACTGTATAGCTTCTATAAATTGTAAGGTTTTACATTTTGTCATCATTGATTTAACAAAGACTGAGATAAAACATTGAGTGAAAAATGCATACACTCAATGATGTAGTAGATTTAGATTCATTTATGGACAGCTCTCTTAAGGTCCAATAATAGCATTTCAGTCAGATTGGGGTCTAGACATCTTCATGCTTTTCTTTTTCAGCCATTCTGATGTAGATTTACTGCGGTTTGAGGTTGAGTTTGAGCCACGCTTGAGCTGTTGGGCAGGTTGACTCACATTTGATTGTAGAATACTTTGGATTACAGAGGAGTTCATGGTCGACCCAATGGTGCCTCAAAGGTGCCAAGATCGTGTGGCTACAAAACAAGCCCCAATCATCACCACCATGTGTGGCAGTTGGTGAATTAGGTGTTTTGTTGGTTTTCACCTAACTTGGAGATGGGCATTGTTCCAGAGGTCTTGTGGTTTGTTCAGATACAACTTTGCAAATTTAAGCTTTAAGTCATTTCTCTTTAGAGAGAAGAGGCTTTCTCTTGGCAACCCTTCCAGACAACTCATACTTATTCAGTCTCTTTCTAACTGTACTGTCGTGAACTTTAACATTAGACATGCAAACTGAAGCCTGTAGAGTTTGAAATGTAGCTCTTGGTTTTTTTCTGCAGTTTCTCTGATCATTCCATGGTCTGACCTTAGGGTGAATAAGCTGGGAAGTCCACTCCTGGGAAGAACTGTCTTGAATGTTTTCCACTTGTGAATAATTTTTCTCACTGCTAAATGATGGATTTTAGAATATTTGGAAATGACCAGAAAACCCTTCCCAGAGTTATGAGCAACAGCATTTGCTTCTCTGAGATCATTTCTGATGTCTTTCCTGCTGGGCACTATGTTTATACTCACCTGAATGCTCCATAACAGCAAAGAGCCAGAACTTCTACTTTTACAGAGATGCTCTTATTTGCTGACAAACAATTGATCAAGTGAATTTGATCATCAGCACCTGACTGCTACTTACCCTCTTAATTACTATGAAAGCAGCACGGGTACACATACTTTATCACACTATTTCTGCATTCTGGTTTAGATTTTTGTTAAATAAGTAATGTATGTAAAAGGTCAGGTGATGTTATTTATCTGAGGTTGTATTAACCCAACTTTAAAACTGGCTAGGGACCATATTATCTTAATTATGTTTTGATACCTAAAACCTTAGAATATAGACATGGTATACTCACTCTTTACTCTTGAATTTACATATTATTTCTATTTGTTTATATGCTCAGTGCTCCCTGCATGGCAACAATTTCCTTCTCCTTTATTTTTTTTTCACTGAGCTCCACAGCATCAAATTTTACAGCGCTTCTAAAAATATCAGTGACCTTATGAATATTAACACACTGTTAACACATTCTTTCAAACCACATTTTAATTAATTAGACATTGGTGTATTTTATTGATCTATTTCCTCTGCTAAACTAATACATGAAAAGTGATTAGCGAAACGCACTCTTACAAACATACATGTTTCATACATACCTTGCTACGAAGAACGAAGACAGTGTTGATGTGGGAAAGGATGCCATGAAAGCTGAAGTCAATGTGAGGACGTACCAAAGAAAAAACTGAAGGAAGGATACAGGTACCCGGCTGGAGCTATATGATAAAAATATCCATATGTTAGTAACATTGAATTTATTCTTTATATTAAACTATAGCATTATTATTGATAATAAAAGACAAAACAAATATTTAAAACATAATTATTTGCTCATTTCTTGAAATTCTGAGTTTGGGAGAACTGAATGTGAATGCAGACCTGTGGCAGGACTCGGTAAATGGCGTTCCCACACTGTGTGAGCATCAGGTCCTTGTCAAACATGAGGTGGAATGGAAAGGCCTTGCAAAATGTGTATGGGCTGATTCGAGTCTCCTGTGTGCCGTTCTCTTCAAAGCCATCGAGATCTTCGTAGAACGCCTCTTCCTCTGACTCCTTCTCCTCAATCAGAAATTTGATGTGGTCACACTCCTCATTTTTGGGTTGGATCATCTGCATCACGTGAAGTTCATCAGTTGATAACATATTGACGACACTGATGCAAGACTAACTGTGTTGCACATCATTAGAGCACTATGACGGCCTCAAAGAGAAATCTGAACCTCAACGTTGCAATTTTCATTTCATAAACATAATACCAATAATACCAATGTTAATTTTGCATTTATTATATAGAATTAGGCGGGTAATAATGACAGAGTCCTGTGGCTTTATGGGCATAAGGCATGCTGACGTCAACCTGGTGTCTCTGCACCCTGTTGCCACAGCAACACTGGCTAATATTTCCAGAAATTGTGTGTCACATTTGGAGTGTCTGCCATTTTCTGTGCTTTCATTATAGAATTGCTGAAAGATATTATCCTGTCTGTACAATATGATTAAGTTTGGGAGAAAATGTCACCGACTGAATGAAGAGGAAAAGCTCAATCTAAACACAGTAGACGTCTGAGGGGAATAACGTGCTGCAGGGAATGGTACAGATTAAGGCTGAGGCTTTGGGTGGCCTACAATTAAAAAAAACAAGCGTAACAGTTTTTAATGCTGGTTTGTTAGAAATTTTTAATTTGGTGCTACTGAGATTAGCCTGGTTAAGTTAACATTTTAAATGTGGCTTGTTCTTCTATTCCCTCAGTCATTTTTGGTTCAGCCGCAGTGAGAGAAAAGTTTAAAAAAAAATGAGGAGCAAGAATAAAACTCCTTGAAAGATTCCCACCGTCTCTATGCTGGAGACTCTATATCTTAGATCTAAAAATATCCTGTGACTCACAGACATTATCCAAAAATTCACTACTCAACTGCAGCTGTCACAGTGTTCCCATTTGGGTATTTGAGTAGTTTCTGTTGTTTAATCTTCACGTTACAGCCTCGCCACTTATATTGTGTGACACAGACTTACACATTCTGACACAATGCAATGCAGGAACACAAGAGTGCCTTTGAATATTGTACCATAAATTAAAGGGGAGCGAGAAGAAGTCATATCCGTTCATTAGCAGTGACAGAGTGAGCCAAAGAGTCGAAGGTTTCGCGATGCACAAAAAGGTAACAAAAACAACAAAGGAGACCTTCATCTCTATCTCTGTTCCGTGGATTTGCTGAGCGACGGTTTTAATGATCCCAATCACTATGTCTTGCAGGCCTTCTCTCTCCGAGTAATAGTGAAGAATCAGATTGTTTCCTTTCTCTGCATCGGTGCAGCGAAACGAGGGAGCCCTCATCCCGGGATAAATGGTGCCCAGGTGATCGTGGAGAGCATCCAGATTCTGAAAATTCAAATCAAAGAAAAAATATGCAACAGCCGATTGTAACACGACCCTCTATGTTGTGCAAATAGAAGAAGTTCAAAAGGTGAATAAAAAAATTAAAAGCTCAGCTGGGTGTTCATCATAAAACCTCATTAGACCACATATGACAACAGTAAGTTATCTTTAACTATTATCGCATCATGTGATCCCTACTAAAAAGAAAACACCTGCACAAAGAAGCTGCACTCCCCCACATCACGATTTGCTTCTGCCCTTTGAAGTGCTGCTCCTCCTCTACTTGTTTTTTGTGAAAATGCAGACTGCGGGCCTCATGCAAGAACCAGCTGTACAAACAGATGTCTTACAAACTATGAAGGGATAGGCTCGTTTCTATGCAGGGTGAAAATAGGCTTGTGTCACAGAGTGCGACTTAATCTGAATGAATATGATTAAAAAATCCTAACAAACTTAATGCAAAATGAAGGGCACTACATCATAATCATCCTAGCACACCAATTTACTGAGAAGTACTATTATCAGCATATTTTGTCACAGCTGATTATACATTTTAGTAATTACTGAACACGGGATGGAAAGCTCGTGGATGATGTCTTCTATCATGCTGTTGTACACAGCACTGTTACCCTTCGTACTGTAATAAACTGAAATCTAATAACCCAGCGACTGTTTTCGCTTTGACCTTGCTTTCTTTTTAGTATCTGACATCACACAGCCTAAACTATAATTAGAGCATCACTGTGTTTCACTGAAATATCTACTCTTTCTAGAGGTTTTGAAGTCTTTTAAAAGAATACTGGCATTTCTTAAGTTTGCTGATTTCTGACAACAGAATGCGGCGGCACAGTGAGAAATTGTTCCTTTTATTAAAGAACAGTGTTGTGCAAAAGACTTGTGCCAACCCTTATTTCTTTATATTTTGCTTCCAGGCAGCCAGACATTCTTGTAATCTTTAAAGTGGTCTTGACTGATAGTTCTTCAGGCTTTCTGAAGTTCTTTCAAATAGTACTGCAACTAAAGATAATTTTGGTAGTCGACTAATCTGCCAATTTTTCTTCGATTAGTCGATAAGTCTTATCTCCGTTTCCTGGGCAAACCTCCTGTTTTAAGCTCACCTGCTCTAGTCTGCACACCTGTGAATGTCACCCTGTGATCTCGTCCCACAGCAAATTAAAATAATATAAATTTGAAAATAATCAAATGTATTTTTAACATTACTCAATAGGACTGTCAGAATAAAAATAAAATAAATACAAATATGAAATAATACAAATTAAAGTGCTACTAGCATTTAAACAAAAGCAAGCGTCATCCTGAGAAGTTTCCAATAGGTGAGCTAACATAAGCATCGCAGTACAAACAGTACAAACCCTAACCCTAACCCTTCACATAAACATGGTTTCAACACGATGCACTTACTTAACTTTGGGTGTTTTTTGCGTCTAATATCTTTACTTATATTAGTAAATAGACTGTAGTGAACAGGTCACTTCAAGTAAGTTTATAGAACTGTGATGTTATATAGCTAACAATTTCAGCTGTCCCCTTGGCTAGATCTCGCTTGAAAACCATGTTTTTAATGTCAATGACACTTTTTACCAGGATAAATAACGGATATATAAAAGTCACTTAGCCAAAAACTGATTGCAGCATCTACTTTGTATTAGAAATGTTATTTCTGGCTCTAAATTACTTGATATTCTTCATGAGAGATATGATTGACATATTTTTAACAGTTTTTGGTCAGCAAGTCATTTATAACAGCTTAAATTCCCATAATCATTTTAGATATGCACTGCAGTAGTGCTGTAGTGGAAGGAAAGCGCTGTTTTGCACAGTCTGCATTTAACTTTGTTTGTTTTATGTGAAATGTGTTCACTTTTTTTTTTTTTTAAATCTTTGCTTCCATTTTCTTTTATCCTACTGTTTAGTAGTCGCGCTACGTTATTCTTCGTTAGTACTGAGTGCAGTCTTGGCAGACAATATAGACAATACTGCCCCCATGGCTTCCTGTAGTGTATTGCAGTTACAAAAACACATTTAGGTGGTATTAGGATATGACGGGAAAATTCGCATTGACAAATTTTTATAGTCGACTTGATTGATTACACTGATGAATCGTTGCAGCCCTACTTTTAAAGTTGCTTTTTGAACAAAAAACCAAAAACCAAAGAAATAAAAAACAGCCATAAAATAGTATTTTTGCACCGTCAAGGGGATTCCCAAAGAGCTAGAAAGCTAAGCTGAAAACTTGGGTTATCTCAAAAAACTGGACAAGTCGAGGACAAAAGAAGAAATGGCAGACCTAAAAATTATCTACAGCAGTTGAACTTTATCTGAAAGCCATGTCTCAGAAATAGGAAACAATTTAGTAAAGACCTGACACAGGACCTGAGAGATGTCAATCTACTGTTTGCTGAAGTGTCACTGGAAGGGTGGCTGTTAAGAAGTCATTGTTAAGGAATGAAAACAGGGAGAAAGAACTGAAAATGAGTGGCAACAGGGCTACACAGTGACTGTCTACAGTGATCTGTGATGGATCCTGTTCCATGGAACAAAAGGCTTCCAACTTTCAAAGAAGAGTTTTGAATGTCCTTCAAAAAGCCTAAATAACTATTTCTGAAGACTACTTTTTTTAAGAAAGGCTGTCTCAGAAAGTTCAGGCTGTGTTAAAGAATAAACCTGGTCACAGCATTACAAACTTTCAAGTTGTATTTATACAGTATTTCCATTTATGTTTGCACATCTTTCAATAAATTGCTACACCTGTTTCCTATTTTACTATTAAAATATACAGAACTGAGGGATAGGCCAAGACTTTTGCAGAGTACTGTTCTACAAGTGTTTACTTAACTTGAGGCCTTTACGTTTGCTGATTTCTAGCAGCAGAATCCAGCTGCACAATGTGAAATTCTTCTTTGTTTTACAGTATAACATTATTTTTTTAATTTACTGCAAAAGTGGAATCTTACAAATACTCCCCGAACAAACGGTATTTATCAGCATGAAACGACCGATTTACAACAATCCAGTGTTTTCACGTGACACCCAAAGCTGATTTATGCGATGTAACATATCCAGCTGACCTTTAAGCTAAAATAAAAAGATATACTACAACATAACATTTTTTGTGCTCAGTAAATTATCGTGTCTTTCAAACTTTACAGCCACAGTGTGTTAAGTCTGGCTTTCTGTTAAAAAGCCTCAAATCTTCAGCCTAAGATCCCTCCAAAACTCTGCAGAAAATATCATACAAATGTTTTCACAGGCTAAAAACTCAGTGTGATGAATAAAACCTCCTCTCATCTTCAGTTCGCTCCTAAAGGCAAAGAGGAAGACTCTACCTGCAGGAATTCACGAACGTTTGAGCCCAGCACGCGTAAGATGGTGTCATATCCTGACTCCTGGCAAAATTCAAAAAACATCTTGCCAAACATCTGCAAGATCTCTCCCGCATCAACTTCTGCAAAACAAAACAAAAAGCTTATTAAAATTGGGCAAATGTCTGCTAAAGCTTCATTTGTATCCTACATCAAATTACATTTATTTCATTTCCAGGGATTTAAAATCGTGCTGTTACTTACTGAGAACTTTGCTTGCAGCTGCAACAAGATCATATGTTTTGCCATCCTCATATATGATTCTAACGAGGAACTGGCCCTCAATATCAAGCTGAGCCTCCCTCCTGAAAACAAAGGGAAGCTGTTACTCACAAGCTACAGCAAATGTCACAGCAGAAGTAAACAGTCTCGTAGGCAACTTGTTCAGGAAACCACTAGCTTTGGCTTTTTTGCAATTGCTTTTCTGTTTACACCAACAACTCGACACCAACGGTTGGGTCTTCTTTCATGATATATATTCAGCTGGAAACATTAAAAAAAGCTTTTGATATTGCTTTGAAGTCCTTGTGTGAATTGCACTGCTGAACAAGCAGAGATAGCTAATCAGGTTTAGATCTACTGCAGGTCCTTTGATACAATGCACTCCAAGCTCCTGAGTACATTTTGCTATTTATATCTTAGAAAATCCAATTTTCACAAAATTGTCAGAAAGCTTAATGAGCTTCTGATTGCAAATATTTAACTGAGTAAACAGGAATGATTTACAGGCCTGACCAGCAACCACAATTTTATCATAATGTGTCACAGCTGGAAAAACATACCGAGCTTTGAAAAAGTAAGAATTCTGATATAAATAACTGAGTTCATGAAAACCTTTAAAAAAGCACATGACGGAACCTGGTAAACTGAGCACTGAGTAACAGTGAGTTACATTTGGAGATGTAACATATAACCCTGAGCTGTAGCATGCCGCGCTGAAGCATGTTTTTTTTGTGGTGGCTGGAAAATGACCACTCTGAAAACATTTACAAAAGGCAGCTGCAGCTCACAGGGTCATGCATAGGGCATAGAAGACTACAGATGAAAAATAAACTTCACTTTAAGCCAAATATTTCAACAGCTGAAGAAAATGGCCATAATTCTAGGGAAAGGACTTATTAAGACTAAACCTAAAGTTGACTAAACTTAAAGCTCATATAGTGTAAAATATTTTATTTTATGGGGTTTTAGCAATTGGAGCACATTTGAATTATACTTTACTGTATATGAATAAACAAAGGATTCATTAGTTTTGCTGCTGTATCCTTGTCCATCTTTAGTGTCCATATTAAACATATTAAGAGGCAACTGCCTCGAATGCCACCTCAGTCTAAAATGAGATAATAAGCTTACTTGATATTACTCTCAGTATCAGCTCGAATGCTTTAGTTTCAAATCCCACTAAATCAGACACTGTGTCTCTTTCCTAAACAAGGTTTCACTGGCAGAAACCTGCAAACAGCACTTTCATTTGTCATCTAAAGCCACTATGTTCACAGCAGCAGATTGTCATATTAGAGCTGGTCGAGTCCCACTTATCAGTTTGTTCACAGTGTATATATCATAATGTTGTTTGCCAACTCCATGAACTACTTTGCATCTTCACTTTCTAGACATGACAAAAGTACACTCTTTTATAGTTATAGTTCATAGTTATTTTTATACTGGTTTTATTTTTTATCTTTATTTATTTTGTTGTTATTGTTGTTGTTATTTCAGAGTGTGCAATAAAGTTTCCTGTCTTTTGATGTGACACTGTGCGGTTGTACTGTCTGGTTAATGCTGATCTTTAGCAATGTTTCCAGTTGCATCTTTAGTGATTCTCCTACTGTTAAGTCATCGTGTTTTGTCCAAAAGGGTGTACTTGCAGTTTTTCTTTGAAAAAATGTAAAAACATCACAAAAGGATATTGCCAGCTTTTTCTGCAAAAAAAATAAAAATAAAAATAACAGAATTAACACATTCACTTAAGTTACATTCTGGTGAAAAAGGCATTTTATTCAGTGACTAATAACATTTTGATTACAGCAAACTTACTAGGCCTAAATATAAGAACCTGATAAGAAATGCTTATTTAAAGCAAGAAATGGCAGATGGATTTAGAGAAGAGAATTATTTTTTTATAATGTTAAACTTCACTAATAAAGTGGATAATCTAAACAGTAAACAGCAATTATGATTAAAGTTCCAGAGGTCAACCAGTTCTATGAAAAAGTAAGATTACATTTTTACTTTAAATATTTCCACTTATAGGTAGCAAATATATTCAAATATAGACAAACATGACAATAATTAGTACTTGAATTTACTTGATATTGGTGATTATTTATGCATATTTTTACATAAGCAAGATTTTGAATGCAGAATGATAAGTTTTTGCATTTCTTAGTAGGTTACTTCATCAAACAAGTCTGTACTGCATATTTATTGCAGGTTACTTGTTACAATTACAACCATAATGGGAAATAATAATAATAATAATAATAATAATAATAATAATAATAATAATAATAATAATGGCATTTTGTCACTTCACCAACTAACTTTTGGTGTGAACCTACATGAGCCTACAGAGGGTGGATGGTATTTAGGTTAATCTGTTCCTGCTGGTAACACTGTGGCAGTGTATGCTGCTGGGCTGGCTGTACAGTATACATTAGGCCTGGCCTGTGTCCTTGTTGTTGTGATCTAAGTTGCTACAGTGTAACCTTTGATACCAACATGGCTGAATAGTAAACACATCCTGAAACTCACTTGATGTCTTCCCACACTTCCGGACCGTAATTCCTCAAAACGAGGAGCTCCAGGGCGTGATTCACAAAACCATACTGTAAATTTTCAAAAACACGAGCAACGTGAGTTATATTTCATGGAACGAACGCAATTTTCTTTAAAAAAAAAAAAAATATATATATATATATATATATATATATATATGTATAAATATAAATATGCTTATTACATTAAATATTCTTAAACATTTTATGACCTTTTGTGTTCATGTACGTTCTGTCCAGCTGTTAATATATTTTAATATGAGGATAATCATGGATATTATTGTAAAAACCGCTACATAGCGGTATTCCAACAGGAAACGACAACCGCAAATACACCGTTTCGGGGGGGAAATGCTACTTACTTAATTAGTATTGAAACACAATCGGAAATATTAATGTTAAATACTTACCATGATGTCCGCTGTTTCTCGTTTTCTTTATTTTTGAGCAAAATTATTAGAATCCAGCAAAATCTTCATCGTTTGGTACAGATGCTGACTGTCTCTGGGTCCAGCTCCCGTTTTTCAGTCAGCTTCTTACTGACAGCCAGACTGTCCAATAACAGATCGGCAATGGCGTTACGTAAGCAGACTTTGACCAATGGCACTGAAGCTGCTGTTGCCCAAGTGATGCTGGTCAACCTGCACTCTCCGTACGTAGTTTCTGCTAAGAGCGTTCAACTGTAATGCCCTGATAATATATTCTGATAAACATGTTGACAGTTTTTCATTTAAACTTACCTAAAATCATCATTTTGAAAAAGTATGCGGGGTAACAGGGTTTATTATTGATATTAAGGGTAGAAGTAGCCAGGTGATACACCTGGAACCACAACTATATATAAATATATTTAAAACAGGCCTACTTTTCTTTTTCAAAATAAAGGTCATGCATTTATGTTTCTACTAAACAAGGCTATAAGTAACGAAATATTGACATAATTAATATTAAGATTAAGAATAATAAGTGTTGCCTATAGCAAAATACTTCCTAATAACTCTGTATTTTATAAAGGTGTTAGTATTTTAACCTGTCTAGCACACATCAGGGTTGTGTTCATTCTTTCTGCAGCTACACACAGATCCAGATTAATTTCTTTCATTGTCTTATTTTTAAAATGATCCTCACTTTACATGTGCACCTAATATTTTTGTTGCTCTCCATGCAGCATTTTAATGCTGTAGCTGGTCACATAAAGTTTAAAAATGTTATATGCTATTGGTCTGATAAAGTCATTATATTTCATTAAGCAGTGATGCAGCGATTTATCAACCCAACACTGGAACTAGCAGGACACCAATGGCATTGGTTGGATGTTTATTTCTTTTTTATTTATCAATGCAGCGCCTACATGCAGTTTGGTCAGTAATAGAACAAAATGTATTCTCTTTCAAGACAGTATGATAATGTACTGAAAGACTTTAATAGTTATTTATTATAATAATTTCTTTGTTTACACAACAGGGATTAATAGCAACATAAAAAATAAACAAAAATCAGCGGTATAAGTATCAGCTATCAGACAACGTCTTATTTAAAACATACATATTAGCCAACAATTTCACAATTCCAATATTTAAATGAGCATGAATCTGAATAGTAAGAAATAGTTTTTGTAATCCCAAATTTAGGAAGCTCATATGTGTTTCTGCCTTGGAATTAATTTTTGTGAAGTTATCATATAAATGTACTGGAGTAAAAAGGGAATTATTCTACTCTGAAATTTAGACTAAAAACACTCAAGTAAAATAAAAGTGCCTGAAATGATACAGAAAAGAAGTAATTGAGTAAATGCCTCTAGTTACTTTTCAATGCATGTACTGCATCATATATATGTCAATAACTTAAGATGACAATTATTCATACAATGCAATGTGCTACAGTCATTCATTTAAAACTGTTTGTCAATATTTATTGAACTTTGATTACATTACAATAATGGTTAAAGCACATCATTATGGGTGACATTCATTGTACTCTGGCTGTGTCATAGTCCCTCTGTAGCAAAGGAGTGCTATGAAACTCATCTAATAAATATAATATAAATGTGAGGTGTGGAAAAAGACTAAAAGTATGCACAAACATTACCTATGTTAAGATACTGAGAGTTAGGAATGCTTTATGTTACACAACACACCTAAAAAACAGTGCATATGTTTTTTGTCTGACTCAGAAAGAAATTATTAGTTGTGTTTTACTAAAAAATAAAAATAAATAAAAGCATTTGTTTGTAAACCAACATATGATCCTGCCTGTAGAGCTTGCATAAGGCACCTTGATCTGCTCGGCATTGCTTCATTGGTTCAGGTTTAATCCTAAACTCTTAACATAGTTTAATTGTTTGTGTTATATGTTATTAAAGAATATTTTTTTATTTATTTATTTTTATTTTTTGTATGTAATTCTGGGACACATTGCTTTACCAGGTACCTAGTCTGGGTAGTCAGACATTTACAGGTCATCATATCAAAAATGTATTTTTGTAACATAGCCACATTTTACAAGATTAAAAACTTTAATGACTCTTTTTAAAAATTTGTATGCTTTTTGGTGCATTTACTATACATTTGATACTATTTTTACAGACAACAGTCTTAGAACAACAGTCCCAAAGTCCTCTCTTGACAGCACTTCTATATCTCTGGCAGGAGCTAGAAATGAAAGCTACTTTTATATCATATCAGTTTGCGCAGATGACTCATTCTGGAAGAAAGATGAAGTTAGTTTCTACAACAACTGTACAAATGGATAATTGTACAGAGACAAGACTCATGTTTGACAGTAAACTGACATCTCTGTAATTAAGCAACTGCAAGAGTTTGACTCGAAGACACTATCATCAACATCAACTCAACCAAAACCAAGATATACAAGGTTGTTGCACTGTGTTCACTAGATAGGTTTATATTACTCCATAGCTAACATTTTTGGGATCTGTCACATGACTTCATTTCATATTCAGTTTTGAAGTTTTGACAGACGCCTCCAAAAAGTAACAAACTCCAGGGATGTCGTCTGGAAAGTTGGCCGGAAGCTCCTGTCTGCTCCTGGGAACAAACACGAACTCTGGGCGACCCTTCAGCAATCTGGGACAAAGAGCACACAGATAAAAGATGGATCTCAAAACAACGTGGCGAATTATTTGACACAAGAGGAAACACAGTGCTCATCCAAATGTTAAGTTTCCTGTCAAGAGCACTTTGGGTTTTTTGTTATCTGCAACAACCACTTGTGCAAACAAATTATACTGTGCAGAAAGAGAGGAATGCAATTTTATTTGGGGGGTTCTGCCTGAATAGGTTTACTTTGAACAGTTATTGTTATTGGCTTTTCTTTAGCTCCAGTAATAGCTAGTCTGCTCTGATTGGTCAGTCTGTCTCATAAAAATGAGGCAGTGGTCACCTTTCATAAGTCTATAAGTAGCAGCGTGGCCCCGTAAGAGCTGCCAACTAGGTAGCAGGTCATTCTTTTTGTTTGTGGGTCTGTCTGTAGGAGGTAATTGTCATTGTGTTACCTGGCAATGTAGATAAGTCACAGCAGAACTGTCTGGATGATAAACAGGACATTTCAAGCAATTAAAGGGTAGCATTTTCAATGGGAGATAATATCTCTTTTTGGGATGGACTTACTTGAACCTGCAAAGCTTTTACATGCACAAAAAACATAATACGGGCACTTTAACATACAATATTTAGCTTGGTGGACAGTTGTTTTGAAGCTTTTTTTCAGATTATATGTTTTGAGACAGTGACATGTGACTATGAGCTACAGAGTTGCAGAGTTATATCACCTGTGGGTTGTGGGGCTGATGTTGATTTTTCTAGGTTGGCTGCATGATTCAAACTTGTTGGCCAATGTGACATTGTTCCCAAAAAGGCAGTAGCGAGGCATCTTAACCCCAACTACACCAGCGAGTACTGAACCGGTGTGGAGGCCGATACGCATCTAGGAAGAAAATGAGATGTTTTAGTTCAAGTTTCAGCTTGTCTTGTCTTACACATGCACGCAGTTGTGTGCACGATGACACCCATTCCTGCCTTCATTCTCATGCTGCTATACTCATCACCTATGGTGAAAGTAACATCTGAATACAGTAACAAATGCAGAGACCTACCAAGAAGCCAATGTAATTTTAATTTTGGGAAAAGTGAGATTTGCAAATATTGGTAGACAGGGATTAGGGCC